TGCGGGTAGCATAACAATTATCGGCGCAGAAAGTAGAATTGGCGATCCGAGTTCTAATACCGGCCTAGTCTGTTGAGCTCACTTTCACACAAAATAACCTTGGGTAAAGCATCTTTTCTACCCCCAATAAGCTATGGTAGACTGAGCTCTTTACCATTGGGTGATCAGTAATTAAAACCATAGAAGAATCAGCTGGGAAATCTCTCCACTCTCTTTCCAAGATGGATTCATAGATAATAAAGGAAAGGTCTATTTGATCGTCTACGTCATGAAGGAGTACGGTATTACCCCGTGCTAGATGTTATGTCTATCCAGCCTTAGATTTATTCGAACTATTGGTTGTTATAAATATTATTTAAAACATTGTGCTTTAGCCATGATAATTTATTTTATTCATATAAGATAGCCCCGATCAACTCCTAAATAATGGATACCTGAAGATGGCCAAAAGGTACTTGGTCGAAACGTTGTGTCTATAATAATAATAATGATAACGAAGATAAGAATAACATTTCAAATGTATCAGAATATATTGACAATTTCTCATCTCGTAAATAAAACAAAAAATGTCTACCTTCAAAAATGTATGCCTAGCGGTAAAAACTTGGAATTTTATTCGTAAAAGAAGAAAAAAAAAACCCTGCGGATATATCTTTACTGATGGATGCTGGAAATAACATGGATAGTGTATGTGAGAAATGGGGAAGAATAGGGAAGTCTCAACAAAAAAGAAACCGCTGATCACAACTGGAAATTGATTACGGAATCTTTTACGATATATAATGAGGAAAGAAGGCTTCGTGAATTTAAGACTCACGGGCCAGATCGAAAGAGAAACAGGAAATTATTGGATAATCTACTTGAAAAATTCGTACAAATGGGTGAAAGGACAAATACAAGAAAGAGAAAGAAGAGACATGAAGGAAAAAGTGTTCCTAAGAACAACAAAAAACGGGAAGTTGGGGAAAGCCGCGATTTCACACTTTCTAAAGAGACTTGTCCAATAGAGAAAGAGACTGTCAGAAACAAGGGAGTGATGTGAAGAACCTACCACCTTTTAGAAAAATCAGCGTGCATTTCGCGGAGTCCGATTTAAAAACTAATTTAAATTCGGACTCCCGCAGTATAAAACAGATATCCTTCAAATTGTTCTGATAAGTCAAGTTCTAAAAGAAGTAAAACGAGGGACTAGAAAAAAAAATAATAATATTAATATAATAATAATTATTAGTAAAATTAATAATCTTGGTGTACTTAAACTAAAGTCTAAAACTTTTATCCTTGGATCGAAATCTACACTGGCAAAATGTCAAACTCAAAATAAACGTACAATAAAGACGTTTTCTTATTAGAGAAATAATAACCCAGACGTTATCTTGTTAATGTTTTCAATAATGCAGACGTTTTCTTGCTAAAGTTTTCAATAATCCAGACGTTTTCTTATTAATATTATCAATAATACAAACGTTTTCTTGTTAATGTTTTCAATAATCCAAACATCTTTTTGAGTAAAATGGAGAAAAGGTAGCGTTTAGAAATACAGAGTTATCGACCTTTAACTTGTCAACGTATAAATTAAAAATAAAAATATCAACAAACGCAGTACGAAGTCTTAATTTACATCTGCGTCAAATATGGCACAGTAGATTTTCCCCTTTTGTTAACAGCATTAATCTTATCTTAATCATTAAAATTTTAAATTCAAATATGTCGTGCAGTTTTATTTATATTACAATGAATCAAAAGATCGCCCCGCTAGGAACATCCCAATCCCATATACAAAGAAAAGGGCTATCAATTAAATGACAATTCTCCTATAGTTTTCGGCTCGACAGGATACAAAACAGGAAACATAACTCACAAATAATAACAACAACAATACTACTACTAATAATAATAATAATGATCATGTTTAGAATTGTATTTTATTTGGAATGGACTTGTCACCGAAATGTTTTATTAAAAAAAAAACATTACATTCACCGATTGTATTTACCATACATGCATATATAAAGACGAAAGGAAAAATCCATGTAGTTTTAGCCGACGCGTTTCGTCCACTGCTGGCTTTTTCAAGGCAAAAAACAAAATGAATTTATTTGTATAAAGTATCTATAAAGAAAAAACAAAATGTTGTTAGTTACTAGTATAATTTTGAAACGATCAAGTATATTCATTGGGTCAACTGAAAAATTACGTCATTTACTTTTAATGTTTGAAGAAAATTTTCATTAAAAATTTCTGTCAAAATTTCTATTGAATTAATTAGTAGTGAGTTGTCTATGTATCTGAAATAGGAAGAGTTTGGAAGTTGAATGTTTTTACTAATGTATGAATATACATGAGCGTTTCAAAATTCTTATAGTAACTAACAACGTTTTATTTTTGTTCAAATAAATTAGTTTCGTTTTTTTTTCATTAAAAAAGTCCACAATGGATTAAACGCTTCGGTAAAACTACATACAGTTTTCCTATTGTCTTTTGTCTTTATATATATATATATATATATATATATATATATATATATATATATATATATATGTGTGTGTGTATGTGTGTGTGTGTGTATGTGTGTGCAGGTATGTAGAAAAATAGGAAAGAACACGTTAGGTAAATAATCCAGGATTCTTTAGTATTTTTGTTTTTATTTTTAAATAACAGTTCTCCATACAGAAGTAGAGCTTAGATTATAATTATTTTTTTTAAATATGATTCCTTCGCTACATAAGTGTTCTCATGTTTCAAAAACGAGAGCCGAAACCATCAATATAATTATTAAAAATTAAATTGAATTAAAGTAACAAGCCCTGTTTCATCCTCAAGCGAAAATTTAGGAATCCTAAATTTTTTTATGAAAATTTTCTTCAAACATTAAAAGTAAATGACGTAATTTTTCAGTTGACCCAATGAATGTACTTGAGCGTTTCAAAATTATACTAGTAACTAACAACATTTTGTTTTTTCTTTATAGATACTTTATTCAAATAAATTCATTTTGTTTTTTGCCTTGAAAAAGCCAGCAGTGGACGAAACACGTCGGCTAAAACTACATAGATTTTTCCTTTCGTCTTTTTTTCCTTATACATATTGTCTTTTTCTACAGATTCATTCTGAGAAATTTTTACACACACACACACACACACACACACACACACACACACACACACACACACACACGCGCGCGCGCACGCACACACAAGGACACATATATTACAGTGTTCAGCAGCTTTTATATCATATAATGAAGTAATTTATACAAAGAATTTTTCAAGGAATTGATAGTCTTGTTAGGGAAGTGATTTCGCCATTAATCTTATTAACATTGCTAATTAATTTTGTATAAATTACTTCTTTATGATATATATATATATATATATATATATATATATATATATATATATATATATATATATGTATTATCACTTTTATCATCCTATAGTCACAGATAATATCGCCCTTACTTGCAAGTTCACATTTTTTTACCATTATTATTATTATTATTATGTTGGAGTCACACATTGACGTGGTTAATAAAAATTCTGTTCTTGAGTCATAAAGACAGCAACCCTCTTCCCAACTCAAGAACCTTTCGGAGAATTCTCGCAAAGTAAAGGACATCCACGTTTCTGGTCTCCATTCCAATTCTCCCCACGCGATTTTTCAGTTTTCTGGTTGGTGTTCCAAGTGCATTCATTGCTCCAGGAATTAATTCTCCATGCGTGCTCCATTGCCTCTTCAACTCCCTAGCCAGGTTTCTTTGAAGTCCACTCTTGTATTGAACGGAACAGTAAAATCAGCAATTTGGCACTTGCTATTCTCCTTATCTATAATAATAAGGACGGGCCTTCGTGCTTCAAGAATGTGATCGGCCTGGACAGAGAAACCTCCTAATATCTTGTGATCATCATTTTATACCCCTGCCTCTGGCTGATATTCATACCAATTCTCTTTTACACTGAAGCAAAATTTGCGACAGACTTACCAGTAAATTCTTTTACCAATCGAATCATTTGGTCGTTTATACTCCTTCAATGCCAATATTCATACTATTTTACTGTTTCATACTTGCTCTGTATTTGTTTTCTATTTGTGACTTGTCTATGTTGGCCTTCAGTGCGTTCATTTTGATGCAGTTGTAGTGACTTCTACTACGTTTGCCACGCCTACAGTTTTCTCAACTGTGATTGGTTAAATAATAAATACTGTTTACCACAGGACAATTTACTAATCGCAGTCACCACACTGAATTTTTTCTGCCGTGAATTTCACAAACATGCTTTTGTTAGAAAATCACCGATTGGTTAATTTTTCATCCAATCATATATTTTCTGTGTTCGTTCAATTCTCCCGCCTTTGTTCCTGGAGCCTAGCAATAGTTATAAAAGCAATGTTTTGTTCCAAAAATAGACAGTAGAACCCAGCTACTCACACGCGTCTACACAGATTATTGATTCTACTCACTACGCACACACAGACACAGAACTTGAATTACATTTCACCATTCGTTTTCTGTGAACAAGCCAAGTTACAAACCAACACTCTGTTAGTTATACAAATAACACACAATTGAATTAACTGTATGTTTTTCTGAATGCAACATTCTATTTCAACATAGAACTTTGAACATTCTATTCAAAAAACATTCTTAATTGCATTTTATCTTAACAGATAAAGGGAAACTACTTTCTTTTCCTTAATATTCACACATTACAAAATTGTTTTGTATTTGTTGATTTTAATATATACTTTATCGTTGAAACAAAAATCGTTTTCTCATTGTTTTTCCTTGATTCAATAACAGAATTGATTCAATAATGTAGAAATGTTAAATGCTCTTCAACACGCAGCCACATTAATCTCTTCAACATAGTACACAAGCAGCATTTACGCTGTATTTCCCCCGTGACTCTGTTTTTCGCTTTAGGAAACCATCTTTCACCCCAAACCACCTCAGCTCAAAAAAAACTGACCCTGCAGCTTTTTTCTTTTAATTTATCATGATGCTTCTTCATTTTTCTGCTTCATTGCTACAATCACTGGCACATCATTTTACGCTTTCATATTCCCATCCAATCTACGTGCAGCTGTCAGAAGCAATCCGTTAGAAATCTTAACCTAATTCTCAAGTCCCCGAACATGCATTTTTCAACACGCGTTAATCGTCTGCTTCCTCCTCCTCATTATTATTATTATTATTAAAAATAAGCACCTTTCTTTATTTATAATATAATCGCATATAAGATTATATAAAATATAATATAATATAATAATAATCCAAATTTACGGCAGATTTTCCAACAAAAATACTAACCTATTTATTTATTAGATTACTTATTTACAAGAATTATTTTTATATTTACATTGTAAAAGGTAATACAATTAGAACTAATACAATTTATAAATTTACCAATTTATAAAGAAATTAATGTGAAAATAATGTTTTATTCATAAATTTTTACTAATTATTAAAATATGCGAACAAACTATAAAGAAATCGTTATTATTTACTATTTTATAAAGTTGGAATCAATTGGTAGCTAACCATTGTTTCGCCAACAATTTCAATAAACAATATAATAAATGGTGAACTCTCCCGTCGTATAAGGGTCAAGCAGCTCAGTTCCTAGGAACAGGCACCCAGCCACCAGCATATATAATTTGATTATAGGGATTTCCCAAGCGTAGCTTAGATGTGGCACACGGCCGAAAGTCGGAGCACCCAGTGAGGATCGAACTCACTACTCAGTTGTAATTGTTCTAGCGAGACAAGCTTGCTAACCATTACACCGCTTCGAAGTGCCCCACATATACATTGATTATAGAGGTGAAGGCTTAGTGCAGAATCAACCACACTTTTGAAGGGCCGAATACAGAGACATACTGAAATATATATCTGAAATTTTTGTTTTTTATACCCGGACTTATATTTTCTGTTTTCTTTTTTGAATTTGTTGGCCTGATGAATTGATTGTGATTACGATTCCAATGCAATAAATTATAACCATGGAATATTAGTATTAGTTTTAGGCCTTTTATATGATATATATATATATATATATATATATATATATATATATATATATATATATATGGTGGACTCTCTCGACGTATTCGACGTATTTTGGCCAATCAGCTCAATTCCTAGGATTTATTATAAACAGACATTTACTTAAATATTTTTTTATCTATAAAAAGAACGTATAAACATAAAAATGTCTTATATATATATATATATATATATATATATATATATATATATATTATAAATTAATTGATTTAAAATAATTAATTAAATTTAAAATATTAAAGTCTGATTAAATTTACATTGAGCATATTTTGTAAAATATAAATATATCTATAAGAACACCGGATTATTTATATATTGTTCTTATATATATATATATATATATATATATATATATATCGGCTTGGATTGAGGAATCGCAGAGCCGAGTTCAATTCCAGTCGAATCCATTACATTCACTTACGTGCTAATACCCTTGGGAAAGGTATGAATCCTCTTCCTCTCCTCCAGCCATGGGTAAAATAGCAGGACAGACTGGGTTCTATAGCCTTGGATGGCAACTGGTCTAGGAGAAGGACAACTCTGAATTCAAAACCTGCGGAGGGTCGTTTTGGGAACCTTTGGCATTCGGTGCACCAGGTCTCTGTATTCGTCCCTTCAAAAAGTGTGGATGGTCCTGCATGAAGCCTTCACCACTATAATCAAATCTCCTGTGCCGGTGTCGGGCTGTCGGCTTCCTGAAACTGATCTGCTTGACCCTCATACGTCGAATCTCGACGGGAGAGTCGATTATATATATATATATATATATATATATATATATATATATAATGAACGTGATATATTAAGCAGAAAGAACAAGAATGGTCTGTTAAGTTTTTTAGGTTAGTTTCTTTCGGTTCTAAGTCGTTTGATGTCAGGAGGGCATTTGTAAAGAATCTCGCCGAAGTTGTTTGTAATGCTTTGATTATTATCGATCAACGTCGGTCATTTTCAAGGAAGAAAGTACAAGTCGAAGATAGCTAAGAGAACGTTGATTCTGTTAACGTTCCGGGGGGTTGAAATGAACGTCAGTTTCCATGCTGTCGTTGTAGGATAGAATTTAGAAAAACGCGGTTTAAATGAGCATACAGTCGAAAGGCATTTTAACACGTGTGTGCTGGGATTAAACCAGGCTTCAGTCATGGTTAGCTGCAATCTTTTGATGTGAGAAACCCATTTCTCTCTATATCGCTCCCACATTCTGGCCATTTATCATATCCATATCAGTTTGTTCATTATCTATCTATCTATCTATCTATCTATCTATCTATCTATCTATCACAATCTCTTCATTATCTATCTATCTATCTATCTATCTATCTATCTATCACAATTTGTTCATTATCTATCTATCTATCTATCTATCTATCTATCTATCTATCTATCACAATTTGTTCATTATCGATGTATGTATGTATGTATCTATCTATCTATCTATCTATTCATCTATCTATCTATCTATCTATCTATCTCTTCTTATCTATTCATTCATCTATCTATCTATCTATCTATCTATCTATTCATTCATCTATCTATCTATCTATCTATCTATCTAATCTGTTCATTATCTATCTATCTATTCATCTATCTATCTATCTATCTATTCATCTATCTATCTATCACAATTTGTTCATTATTCATTCATTCATCTATCTATCTATCTATCTATCTATCTATTCATCTATCTATCATTATCTATCTCTGTTCATTATATCTATCTATCATCTATCTATCTATCTATTTATCTATCTATCATTCATCTATTCATTATCTATCTATCTATCTATCTATCTATCTATCTATCTATCACAATTTGTTCAATAGGCATTCATATCAATTTAATCATTATCTATCATTCATCTATCTATCTATCTATTCATTCATCTATCTATCTATCTATCTCATGCAATCTCTTTATATCTATCGACCCTCTGCCTGTTCATACCTATATCTCAGTCTGTTCGTATCTATCTATCTATCTATCTATCTATCTATCTATCTATCTATCTATCTATCTATCTGTCATAATCTGTTTATTATCTATCGCTCTCAATCCATCTTTGAATCTATCTCTCTCTATCTCTCTTGGAATAAGAGTAATGCAACTCAAATTATTAAAATATGAAAACGTTACAAAAATTACTAGAATTTAATGCTAGTAGAATGTTTACCAAAAAGGGGTCAATCGATAAATGTTCAATAAATCAATAAATGTTCACTGGATTTATTACACAGACCGATGCCATAAATATTTGGATATAAATAAATATAAATAAATAGATTTATCGAACATCTGTCCCTGATAAGTGGTATGACACTAAACTCTGGAATCGGTCTATGAAATAAGTCCATATTACATTTATTGAAATAACGAGTGTTTGCCTCTCTCTATCTCCCCTATCTCCCTCTCTCCCCCTCCTCTCTCCCCTCTCCCTCTCTCCCCCTCTCCCTCCTCTCCTCTCTCTCTCTCTATATATATATATATATATATATATATATATATATATATATATATATATATTTATATATATATATATATATATATATATATATATATATATATATATATATATATATGAAATAGATTGTAGATATAAAAATCAACACTGCATGGTGTATCGCAGTTTCACGTTCTAAGAGTTTACACACACACACACACACACACACACACACACACACACACACACACTATAAAATAAAAATGAATACTCAGATCAACACACAACGGCGACAGTCTGTTTCATGCGTGAACGCCATCTTCAGGCCATGTGTGTTTTGTTTTGGCTCGGTTATTTATATATGCTGATCAATATTGCATTATAGTTTGTAAGGTCTACTGTATTATCCTAACGTTTCTGTTTCAAATTATTCTGTAGGCAATTAGTGTTTTGCATGCAGTTGTCATTTCAGGGATATTCGTTCTTTACTCTGCAGTTACAGGTGGATTTGGCCATTTTTATGTTGTGCTCTTTTATTATTTGTGTCATGCTCTTGGTGCAACTGTAACTGATTTTTACTATGTTTTTGTTGGATATCTTGTTAAGAGAGCTAGATGGGGTGGAAGTGTTTATTTATGAGGGAAATGAATATTATTTTCCGGTTGTTTTCGTGTTTTTGTTGAACAGTGGGTTAAACCAGATGATGTTTCTTTGCGTGTTGGCTTTTATTTGTGCTGTTTTTATTATGTGAGTATTGTTGAAAATCCACCATCTTTTAAGACTGTTCTATAACTTGGCTTCGTTTAAGGTGATGTCGTTGGAATAATTTTCAGATAACCAACGATTAATTGGTTGTGGGATCTGCTTGATTACTGCTTGTAATATGTGTGTATGTAAAGTGGCTTGTAGTTGTTTTTTTCTATATCGTTAATACGTACTTTTTCTTATGTTGAGTGTATCATCTAGGAAATATACCTCTTTCAGATCTGTCTTTATGACAAATCCCATTTATTGAAAACAGTTTTCGTGGATGTGTGCATAGCGTAATGGTGCTTCATCTTCTATGCACCGTATCCCTTCAAGACATAGGCGATCGTAGCTCTTCCCGACGTCCCATCCTTTGTTGCTCTTAGCAGTGTTTGTCTTTTTACTATCCCTCTCTAGTCGCTGTTTTGCCACCTATTTACACAAGCTCTTTAGTGAGGTTACACGCTTTTTCTTCTTGAACAGACCATCTTTCCTCATTATGTGCTCCAAAAGTTTCAATTGTCTTTTTCTGATACTAAGTACAAATGCTTTTTTCATTTCATTTTCCTCGTTACTCGCACGCTCCGTCCAAGGTATTCTCAGCAGTCTTCTGTAGAACCACATCTCTGTTGTTGAGTCTTCTCTTCAAGATGTTTCAGCCTTCACTGTCATACAAGGGGGATTGATATTATGTAGCAGTTGATTGGAGATACAGAAAGAGAAAACAGGCGAACCTAGATCGAATTCCGGTGGAGTCCGTTAGGTTCACTTTCGCACAAATACACTTGGGAAAGGTATGAACATTTCTTCTACCTCCAGCTATGGGTTAAATAGCTGATTTGGTTCTCTTGCTTTGAGGTGGCAACCAATCTAGAAGAAGAAAAACTGAATTAAAAAACCTAATCAAAGAAAGATAGGCTACATCTTTCCCTTTGTTGTATACTCTCTTTCTCTCATGCTTGAAGGTCTTGGTCACTGCGCCAATTAATACAATGTTTTATAGCCTTAATCAAAATCAACAATAGATTTTTGCACATAGTTCTAAACCTTTGTAAAAAGCCAAAACAAAACAACACAAAAATCAGTCTCTCATTAAAATGTTTAATCAAACTTGACATTGCCGCATCAGTGTTTTCCTGAATGTGGGTGTTTTACTATGTCCACTCCTCCTTTTTTTTCTTTTTTTTTTGTTTTCTCTACTCTTCCTTTTTTCTGTCCATCAAACCCTGTTTGCTTACTGTTTTTTTACTTTTATCCTCATTGTTTTTTCCTCATTACTTCCTATTTTGGTTTACTGTTTAGATGTGTGTGTGTGTGTGTGTGTGAGAGAGAGAGAGAGTGTGTGTGTGTGTGTGTGTGTGTAAGAGAGAGAGTGTGTGTGTGTGTGTGTAAGAGAGTGTGTGTGTGTGTGTGTGAGAGAGGTGTGTGTGTGTGTAAGAGAGAGTGTGTGTGTGTGTGTAAGAGAGAGAGAGGTGTGTGTGTGTGTGAGAGAGAGAGAGTGTGTGTGTGAGAGAGAGTGTGTGTGTGTGTAAGAGAGAGTGTGTGTGTGTGAGAGAGAGAGTGTGAGAGAGTGTGTGTGTGTGTGTGTGTGTAGAGAGAGTGTGTGTGTGTGTGTGTGTGTAAGAGAGAGAGAGAGAGGTGTGTGAGAGTGAGAGGTGTGTGTGTGTAAGAGAGAGAGAGGGGTGTGTGTGTGTGTAAGAGAGAGAGGTGTGTGTGTGTGTGTGAGAGGTGTGTGTGAGGTGTGTGTGTGTGTGTGTAAGAGAGTGAGAGAGTGTGTGTGTGTGTGTGTGTGTGTGTAAGAGAGAGAGAGAGAGAGAGAGTGTGTGTGTGAGCAGGAGAACATAATAGTTAAATTTTCTCTTTTTTCTGTCCTTATATCATATTTACTTTTTTTCTTCTTTTTTTCATATTCTCTTGTTGAATTCGCCTCTGAAAATTTTCTTCGGACATTAGCACGTTGTGTTGTAACCGTCATTCTGCGTTTTGCCGTGCTGGGAGATCCTGGTCACGGAACCAAAATATGTCTATGATAGATCCCTGCGCCAATTAATACACTGTTGTATAGCCCCTTGGTGGGGGTGGTCTTGGGCGACGGCGTCGATTCACTCACATGTATCTTCTCTCTCTCTCTCTCTCTCTCTCTCTCTCTCTCTCGTGCTGGGTCGATGTGAGGCTCTTGGTCGACAAAGTCAATTCCATAATAAAGTTGCATTCTTCTTTCACAGCCGGTGATCGCTATTTGTTTTGGTTCGGAGATGGAAAGAACTTCAACACAGGGAATTTTAACTTAGCTAGTTTATTAACGTCGACGTATACATCTTCTATTCTAGCCCGTAGGGTCGCTCTCTCCCTCCACTGGGGAGCAGTTTCCAGACACGAAAGGCAAACACGTCTACATTATTCGACGGTTAAAACTCGACTCCCTGAAACCCCTTTCTCTAGCTATCGTGCTCATGCTAGTTCAGCCAATCAAAATTGACTTCCTCTATTTTGTCTTGTATCTGATCCCTAAGGTCAACCTGAGGAAGTCAATGCAGAGATACACTTCCCCGTAAAAATGATAGTCTGCTAAACTATTATTTAATACCTTCACACACTAATTCTACCATGGCTGCACTATATGTGGTACCTCCACAATTCTAATGGATTACGGGAACCACGGTGTCAATGATGACCCACAATTCGTCAAAGAGAATAAAAAGACGCAGATAAAAAGTCATATTAAAAAATACACACGCAATCGTTTTACAATTAGTTTTATCCCGTGAAAATTTTCACGGTTTTCCTATTTTAACATTCTGATGAACTTTAATTCTTAAGTTAATGATTGAATAAGCTCATAATAAATTCTATGACACTAACATGTCTGTAAAAATTCCTCTATCTCATCGTTTAATAATTGAGCTTAACAACTTTAACAAAATATTGCAATAACAATCATAAATATGAATGCTGGTCGTTATTTTAAGAAGTGGGTAGAAATGAAAAGATTTGAAAATGACAACTTTTTCTATTTCACTGAAAGAGCAATTAAACACTTCTATCTCCCCTTTCTCACTGAAACCAAGTAGTGTCTTTTCCAATCTTTCCACGTGATCAAAACGGAATATTTAATTATTTATGAGGTATTGGTAGGAGACGTTAAACACTTTTATCTTCCCTTATTTATTTAATTCTTTTTAGCCAAATCTCATTCTTGCGAACATTTCTATTAAAATAATTTTAAAATAATTCAGCAGACGATTTTATTTTATTTAATTTATGGTAATTCGATTTTTGACAATTGCCTTATTCGGTTTCCGTCATTCGATACTGTGCGTCTGAAAAATGTCGTGTTTATCGCGGTCGCCATAACTTCTCGGCCCTTTGGCTGAGATCAAAGTGTAGCATCTGTTCTTATCAGTTTAATCTTATTCTCTCTCTCTCTCTCTCTCTCTTTCTACTTCTATCTCCCCTTCTTTCTTCCATTTTCTCAGTGAAACCAAGTAATGTCTTTTCCCCACTTTCCACGCGATCAAAACACGGAATAGTTCATTATTTATGAGGTATTGACAGGACGCAACGGTCGTGCTAACTAACGAAGGAAGGGACAAGCACAATTCTAATAGGATATTTTGCTTTCAAAGTAAAAAATTCAGCTTGTTGAGTGATAGGTAAAATCTATTTAAATAAAATTTAGTCGTGTCACAGAGGAAGATGTTAAAGTCATTTTACATTTGTTAATTCTGGGAACAACATTTCGATGGGAATTTTAAGAAAAAAAAACAGGATATCGACGAACGGAAAATCGGGTGACGAGAAAAGCAAATTACCAAGAGACAGTCACCAGAGAATATTTCATCCAATCAGAAAAAAGTAGCGTAAACATGTCAAATTTTAGACAGTGCACTAAGGGGGGAAAAATAAATAAATAAATAAAAAAAACTGCAGGTTTTTGGGAGGTACAAAAAATTTGAATCGTAGAGATTTTATACTAAAAAATAGTTTTAAAAAGAAAAGCTAAAAACAGGGACATTATAACCAAAGAAGGAACATTTCAACAGCTCAAGCAGATGGAGAAATAAGAAAAAAAAAAAAAGAAAGAAGTGAATATGTTGAAGAAAGAAAACGAAAAATGTAAACTCTTGTAGATTGAGAAAAGAAAAATAAATAAAACGGCTCAAATGTCGAAGTGTGAAGGATAATGAAAAAAACAAAACAAAATCTAATAGAAAGAATAAGAACAAAAGTAAAGAAAATGGTAACGTAATGGAAAAAGAGAGAATAGCGATTGATAGACGTTGGAGAATAAAAAAATATTACGAAGACAAAGAGTAAAAGAAAAAGCACGAAAAATATAAATGCTCAAAGAAAAAGAATAACAAAGAGAAAAGACGATAAAACACAGAATAAGGCACATTTCATAGCAGAGACTGAACTAAATTCTAAGTGTCTCTTAAGACAAAGAAACCTGTTTCTTTACGCCAAACGGTTCCTCACATTTCTTCTTGTATACGACCTGAGGGGGGTCTCGTTTAACAAAATGGTTACATATTTTCTAGCCTTGCTATAGATCGGTGTTCGAGCCCAGGTAAAAGCCATCCTTTCGAATACTGATTTATTTTTAGGTCAGATATGAAAGTCGTTTTTATTTTGAAGTTTGTCATTCGCTCTCTTATTTTTTTTTCCGTCGTTGACCTTGAGTTGTGCTAAAAACATCGTGAAAAAGATGGCCTGAAGCAGTAGTTGCAGATGTTATCATATGTTGGAGTCTAGAGAAAACCTTTCAAATGACAATTTTCAAAGCCAACACGCTTATACAACATGGTACAGGGTGGTCCGAAAGAATTGTCACCCCCTACAAAAAAAAGTAATGAGAAGAATACAAGGACAGTTAGTGACTTTTTGGGTAATCGTAACACAGATGCCTCCACTTTTGTACATATGACCCCTTCGTGTTGAGGGTCGTCCTGTCCTCGGTTTGTCCTTAATTGATCCGTGAGAAACAATTTATGCTCCCATCGCAGTATCGTCCTCTTCGGAGGAGCTGGTTTGCCAAATCTTGCAGTGAAGTCATGTCACACATCCTTTATGCTCTTGCCAGAATGCACAAGATCATGTGTCCATACACTTGCAATCAGCCTCTCGTTCAAACTGCAGAATCTCGGGTAGTCTTGGTTTTGCTCAATCTTACTGAATTCCATCTGAAATAGAAAATTATACTATGTAGGGGTGACAAGATTATCAGACCACTCTGTAAGTTGGCTTAACACGATCTTCCAATGTCTTTTAATTTTTCTTTTATCAACGAATTATCTATGCATTTACCATTTAGACCAGACGAAAGCTACGAATTTAAATACTGATTCAAAGTCGATTGAAGCAGCATAATCATCATTTTCTCTATTTGGCTTTTTATTGTTGTAATCATTGTGTATGCCCGACTTTTGGTAAAGACCAGAGTTTCAAATATTGATTTTTCAAGGCACATAGGTCTTTTTCTCACTTAGGGGTTGACACATTACAATCTTCGATGGAGTTGTACAATAGGTATTTGCGTACAGAAATAACGAATTTCCATGTATAGAATGATGGTGCCACATATGGTCTGGTGCTCCTTCTATAAAATCCAAAGAAAAATCAGCAATATTATTGGTCCTTATCTGGCGCCTTCTTTTTTTTCCACCGCCGTAAGGTTACCTCTCTGTGCCTTTTCTATAAATGCATTTATGGCCACTGTTCAGATAAGCTCTTCGCCATGGTACCTAAACTCTATGAATTTAAGCGCCATACTAGACTGGCGTCAAGATCTCATCAATTTATGGTTGAGTGGGCTAGATATAACCATAAATTCTATGGCAACAGTTTCTTTTCTCGCACTTCTCGCTTGTTGAACTCTGTTCCGGCTCCATGTTCTTCCAACCATCTTTAATCTTCAAAAAATTTAAAGTAATGTCAATCGATTTCTACTTTGCCCCTGATTACATTTCTATTGTTCCTGGTCCATAATAAAGTTTCTATTTTCTAATTCTTCCCCACCCAGTCACCACTTGTGGCTTTACTGCCTTGCTTGGGGTGAAATCGATTAAAAAAAATTAAATTTTATAATAAGTACTTTTTTCATATATCGATTATGCATTTGTAAAGAGACAAACGTTTTAAAATATGTAATGAAGTAATTTAACTATAACTTTTTATAGCAAGTAAGTTTCAAGGAGACACAACTAAGATTGCCTTCACCACAGGACTCTAGATTACGAATATTAATTTTAAAATCTGGATGGAACCGCAAGTTCTATACTGACAGTTTCCTTACTGTCGCACTTCTCGCTTGTGGAACTCTCCTTCGGCTACTTGCTTCCCAGTTAATTCTGATCTTCAAAGATAATTTAAATGCAATGCTAATCGTTATCTTCTGCCATAATTTCTGTTCTTTTAGATTGCGTACATTTAATTTTATATATTACTATTGATTAATTACTCTAGATTACAAATTAAAAAGAAAATATATTCTTTTAATTTTCAAAAATCACGCCGTTTATGCGTTTACTTGATCAACAAGACCATACATACTTTTTGCCCACGGACAAAATAATAATTAATTTTTCTTTATCACTTGTATCCAAAGAAATTCGAATTAATGTCGGAAAAAAACTTAAAATGAACGAACCCGTCAAGCTAATGTCTATCTTTGTAGGGACACCTTTCTTCGGGGGGGGGGATTCAAGCCAGATGGATTTTCCTGCCTTTTTGTCCAGATCTTTAAATATTTCAGTGACCACCGGGTTTCTTTAGCGACAACATATGTTTTTCTATTTGACATCTTTGAGGATACATTAATGGTTTCTTTCTCATCAGCGGGAGGTGGGAAAGGATGGGTAGTCTTGGTTTTGCTCAATCTTACTGAATTCTGTCGAGTTAAATTCCATGTGTCTTTTCAATAAACGTCTTCATGGCAATTGTTCTAAGGAGCTTTCCTCCTTCTTACCTCGGCCGCATGAATTTAAGCGTACTGCAAGATTGGCAAATAGGTCTCATTGTTTTACTGTTGAATTAGCTACATGCATCCATAAGCTCTATTCTAACCGTTTATTTTGTCACACTTCTCACCTGTGGATCTATCTTTCGGTTTCTTGTTCTCGTCCCACCTAAAATCTTAAAAATCTTCAATTCCCTGTGCCTTTTCCTATAAATACTTTCATGGTAATTGGTCTTATAAACTTTCCGCAATGGTACCTAGACTTTATGAATTTAAGCGCAGCACTAGAATGGCGGCAAAGTCTCACCACTTTACAGCTGAAATGACTGTATGGAACCGTAAGTTCTATGCTGACAGTTTCCTTTCTCTCGCACTTCTTGCTTGTGGAACTCTCCTTCGGTTTCTTGCTTCCCAGTCAATTTTGATCTTCAAATGGTAATTTAAATACAATGCTAATCGCTATCTTCTGTCATAATTGTTGTTCTTTTAATGTCTTCTCTCCTTAATAGTATATTTAACTCATATTCTCTCAGACTCAGTCTATCATCTTAGTGGCTTTACTCCCAATTTTCTTGTCGATCAATGCTACGCTACACGAACATCCTTTCCGTAAGAGAACATAGAAACACATTTTTAGGTAGGTTTCAGTGTGTGTTTCAATCGGTCCCAATTGAGCTAAGGTTTGAGGGATGTAATGTAAGTCTTCTTGATAAGCATGTCGCGGTATGCCCAATATAATTATTCATGATTTTCGTTTGATCAAATTCACAAATAATTATATTAGACATAATACTACATGTTCATTAAAATCTTGTGCTTTCCAGAAAGTTGTTCTTTTATTGTCCTTTCCCCTCGTTAAAGACTTCTCATTCTCTTCCACTGCTAGTAACTACTTGCGTCTTAGTGACATTATCGCCTTGCTTGGCGAAAAATGATTAAAAAATTTGCCCTATATTTCTACGTGCTGCAGTAATATATGTCGAGAATAATTCAGCGTATAAGATCTGAACACAAGCGGCTTCAGCTGAAATTTGAACTCGATATGCCAATCCCAATTTTCGCGTCGATCAACGCTACGCTACACGCACATCCTTCCTGTAAGAGGACATAGAAACACATCTTTTTAACAAGGTAATGTTATTTAAAGCAGAATGTTGCGGACCAACAACACATTATTTTACATCCCGTCCCATTGTTGCTTATCGCCAGTAACAAATGTTTCAGCCATAAGCGGCTCCACTCGACTCAAGTGGAGGGACACTCATCAAATGGTGTATTGTTATATGTCGGTAGATTGCCAGGAAAGAGGCCACAGAACGATAAAGAGCTATCAACCCAGTTTGGTCTTTTAAAATTTCGTCTTTCAAATCCTTTTGTTTGTTTGCTCCTTCAGGTGTCATTTATTTCTAGTGGATTCTTGCTTGGTACTCATCGGAGCGGCTCTTGTCTTTTTCTTTTTTTTTCATAAACCCCATCGACATACTTTGCGTCGCCATGTTTTGCGAAGCTTAACGCAAGTAAATAATCAATATAATTATTGATTAGGTTCTGTTTTTGAAGGTGGTAAAGGGAAGGACAATGAGTAAAGGAGTCGGAACAATAGAAGAAGAAGAAGAAGAAGAAGAAGAAGAAGAAGAAGAAGAAGAAGAAGAAGAAGAAGAAAGAGGAGAAGTGGAGGAAAAAGGATGGGAAAGAAGAAGAAGAAGAAGAAGAAGAAGAAGAAGAAGAAGAAGAAGTGCATCAAAGTGTCAGTTACTATCAGAATCAGGGGGAATGAAATTTCTTGGACATATAATGAGGATGGGGGGCTTGGAGATCTCGACCCTCACAGGGTATATCGAGGCCAAGCGAGATAAAGGAAGACGACGGGCCACCTAGCTGACGAGTTTGTGTGAATGGATGACGTAACGGTTGGCAAGAACTACAATAAACTGGACATTTATATTTACGATTGTTTATCCACCTCTACCTTGAGTGGCTCAAACGCCACTAAAGTTAGAGGGTTGCTAAATGATGTTGTAAGGGCGTGCAGTGGGAGAAGCAAAAGGTGGATGTAGGATAGATAACGGTTGAATCTAGACTTGATGAGGTTAAGATTGTATTCCACAAAGCTGCAAATTCTAAAGAAGCTGTCTGAGTGGAACTTCCTACTCGGTAATCTTAATGGTGGAAGATACAAAAGGAAAAGAAGAGAAGAAAAAGAAAGCAAATATAAAAGTGGAGAATGAAATAAAGGAGAAATAAGAGAAAAGAAAAATATAAAGGATAGATAAAAGAAAAGAGAAAGAAAATAAGAAGGAAAAAAGGAAGAAAGAAAGAAATAAACAAAAGAGAAAGAAAATAAGAAGGAAAAAAAAAGGAAGGAAGAAAGAAAGAAAAGAAAGAAAAAGAAAAAAGAAAAAAAAAAAAAAAAAAAGGAAGAAAGAAAGAAAGAAAGAAAGAAAGAAAAGAGAAAGAAAATAAGAAGGAAGGAAGAAAGAAAAAAAAAAAAAAGAAAATAAGAAGGAAAAAAGGAAGAAAGAAAGAAATAAACAAAAGAGAAAGAAAATAAGAAGGAAAAAAGGAAGGAAGAAAGAAAGAAAGAAAGAAAGAAAGAAAGAAAAGAGAAAGAAAATAAAAAGGAAGAAAGAAAGAAAGAAAGAAAGAAAAGAGAAAGAAAATAAGAAGGAAAAAAGAAAGAAGAAAAGAAAGAAAGAAAGAAAGAAAGAAAGAAAAGAGAAAGAAAATAAGAAGGAAAAAGGAAGGAAGGAAGAAAGAAAGAAAGAAAGAAAGAAAGAAAGAAAAGAGAAAGAAAATAAGAAGGAAAAAAGGAAGGAAGAAAGAAAGAAAGAAAGAAAGAAACAAAAGAGAAATAAAATAAGATGGAAAAAAGGAAGGAAGAAAGAAAGAAAGAAAGAAAGAAAAGAGAAAGAAAATAAGAAGGAAAAAAGGAAGAAAGAAAGAAAGAAAGAAAAGAGAAAGAAAATAAGAAGGAAAAAAGGAAGAAAGAAAGAAAGAAAGAAAGAAAGAAAAGAGAAAGAAAATAAGAAGAAAGAAAGAAAGAAAGAAAAGAGAAAGAAAATAAGAAGGAAGAAAGAAAGAATAAAAGAAAAAAGAAAGAAAAGAGAAAGAAAATAAGAAGGAAAAAAGGAAGGAAGGAAGAAAGAAAGAAAGAAAGAAATAAACAAAAGAGAAAGAAAACAAGATGGAAAAAGTGAAGGAAGAAAGAAAGAAAGAAAGAAAAGAGAAAGAAAATAAGAAGGAAAAAAGGAAGAAAGAAAGAAATAAACAAAAGAGAAAGAAAATAAGAAGGAAAAAAGGAAGGAAGAAAGAAAGAAAGAAAAGAGAAAGAAAATAAGAAGAAAGAAAGAAAGAAAGAAAGAAAAGAGAAAGAAAATAAGAAGGAAGAAAGAAAGAAAAAAAGAAAGAAAGAAAGAAAAGAGAAAGAAAATAAGAAAGAAAGAAAGAAAAGAAAGAGAAAGAAAATAAGAAGGAAGAAAGAAAGAAAGAAAGAAAGAAAGAAAGAAATAAACAAAAGAGAAAGAAAATAAGAAGGAAAAAAGGAAGAAAGAAAGAAAGAAAGAAAAGAGAAAGAAAATAAGAAGGAAAAAAGGAAGGAAGGAAGAAAGAAAGAAAGAAAGAAAAGAGAAAGAAAATAAGAAGGAAGAAAGAAAGAAAGAAAGAAAGAAAAGAGAAAGAAAATAAGAAGGAAAAAAGAAAGAAGAAAAGAAAGAAAGAAAGAAAAGAGAAAGAAAATAAGAAGGAAAAAAGAAAGGAAGGAAGGAAGAAAGAAAGAAAGAAAGAAAATAAA